TGGACAGGGCTGCTCGTATGATGGTCCACCAACACCTGGTATAACCTCACCCATGGACTGGGCCTTCCCTATACGTGGTGTCTGCCGTGTTGGTTTTGCTCTGGCTCCTCCAAGTTTTCAAAAGTGTGAGGGTACGTCCAGAGTTGCAGTATCTGATATGGAACATTTAAACGTAATCGGTATCTTTGGCCTACAATGTTTCGGTGTGGGTCATGAAGATGCACCATTCATACTCCGATCTCATCCAATGCAATAAGGGCCATCTATAAAACTGGTAATCTTCAGTAATAGGCCTGGATGTATTCATTAAGTGATTGTATCCGGCCCATCGAAATGTAATGTAAATAATAAAATAAATAATTTCATGTGCATAAACCATAGTCTGTTGGAATTGATGGATTTAAATATTTATTGCTTGTTGTCAGATAATCATTCAGAATGAAATCACTCTCCATGCATAAAAATGCATCAATGTATGATATTTTTAAAAATCGAAAAGTTTAGTTGACATTCTCACTTAAAATATTTTATAATTTCTATGTGCCATTAATTGAGGTGTTTTCTGTTTGAGTATGAAACCCAGATTAAAAAAAAGCAAGCATCCAATGAGTTCAATCCAGGGCATCAAAATTTAAATCATAATAAATCACCTGATTTAAACTATTCTAACATTAGAATTATAAAAGCGTAAACTAGGTTTATCCATATTTTTTTTGAACGATAGTCTATCTGCGTGGAAATTTCTTTTCTGTTTGCAGATATAGATGAATGTGGAGGACATCATCGGTCAAAAAGATCTCATTGGTGGTGGCAATATATTCAGACTTCAGGTAATTGTATTCACTGCTACTATATTTGTGCTTCCTTTTGCTAATAATAACAATGATGGAAAATAAGACCTCTCACATAATTTTTCTTTGGGTCATTTCGATTATTTCAAGGTTCAGGCTTACTCTGTCAGTTCTTTAAACATGGGTTATCTTATCATGGGTTAATCTTTGCAACAGGAGTGCTTTTCACAATGTTTAATTTAGAAAACTTAGTGGCTGATCTACACGTTGGAAATGTCTCCCACGTTAATATCATAGTTTATTTCTTTCTCGTTTCGCCTAATTGCAATTTAGCATATATCTTACTTTTCTCTCAACCGATTGTGATTCGTCAACGTTTACTAAAATATCGCCTTCACCACTTATTTCTGTTGCCAAAAAATTTTCTTTGCCTCTTTCGTCAACGTTGTCGGAGTAAGTCCTCAACTTTTCTCTTTCCTCGTCATATAATGCATATACCATCGTTCCGCTTTTGGGATTAAAAGTAATTGCTTCTTTTTGTCCAACTTATCAGCTTCCATAGAGCCGACGGCAACAGCGTTTATGCCTGTTTCTGGGAATGGTAAGAGAAAGTATCTCCGTTCACTTTTATACTGAATATATCCATCAATGGACCAGGAAAAGAGGTTTGGTGGTCGTTAGCTCTTGAACGAGCAGGGTAACCTATATTTCTCATTGCATAATTTTGATACATAAATTATTCCCCTTTAAATTGGAGAAATAAAAAATTAATTGGAGGAAAAAAAAATTATATAGCTAAAAGTGTGCACGAAGCCCGTTACTCGAGTGCAAATTGTCACCTTGAAAGCAACGACTCGAGGAACGTTTTGAGTCGATGTCGTTTAAAACTAACTGATTTTTCCACAAATTACAAATAAAATTTGTCTAACGCTCGAGAATTCTGCCTAAAAAGTTTTTATCAAGTGTTACCTTAAAAACCCCTCCTTCCAGCTACCGCAAAATGTACCGTGAACCGATGAAATGACGCGCGTGATTAGTGTCAGTACAAGTTCAATTAGGGTAAACTTGGCCGATCATATCATTTAAACAAGCACGGTGACCTATCTTTTTTATTGCATTTTTCGAAACAGGTATTGGCAGCCAACATTTAAGGAAAGTTTGTACACAATTGTTCTATAACTTTTTTCGGAGGAATTACCTTAAATCACTCAAGAAACCTTGCAAATTGTTTTCGTCTGAGAAGTAAATAAAGTGCCTGGGTTTGACTAAGAAAATGTGAACTGTTTAAATTCTCCTGGGTTGACATAATGATGCTATCAAAAATGTAATTCAATTTTGCTAGATAGAGTAGAGATTTTTTTTCATGCAGACACACTTTCTAATGACTGTTCATTTCTTTTGTTTTCAGCTCCTCAATCTACTAATATCGCACCTACACCCTGTAAGTACTTATTCCTTCACTATGAATTTAGTTTCAGCAGTTATACCCGGATTGATTTTTTTATTCACCTCCGAGAAGTGCAGAGAAGGAACTGAAATGCGTAAGTAAAGGATTACATTGAGGATGCTCTACAACCTTAAAATATTATTTTTTCCTTCATAATTAAATTTCCAAAGAAATAGTGGTCTTAAGTAAGAAAAATTGGATGAACAATCCACGAAGTAAATTTCATGTTTAAGCCTAAAATGCAACAGGTTTGTCAGCCTTTCTAAGCGTGATTGTGCATTTTTAAGAAAAGAGTTTTGTGGTTTGGAGTTTCTATTTTAATAGGTGTCGTACTTTTTTACTCTTTCTTTTTTAAAGCCCAGTCTCTTGCCGTCGCTACCCCGGCTCTTCCTGGTAAGTGACGCGTGGTAAAAATCAAAGCATGCCCTTGTAACGCCTGAGTTGAGGTGTTACTTTGGATGCTGGTATGCATTTCTACGTATTTTAAGTGGAGGCAGTTACAAAGCTCTCGGTTTGGATTTAAACAGTCCTGCTGATTAGGGAATCTATGCCTCTTTCAGTGTCTTACACCTATTCCTTATCTGATGTAAGGAAACTTTGCTAATTCGAACTTTTCTCTTTACCATCCTGTAAGGGTGAATACGAATGGACTGTCATTTTAAAACCTGGGTAGACGGTTCCTGGGTAGAATCCCTTTACGTTAAAAATAGTAGTGTTTTGTTTTTATGTAATGAAATAACAGTAACAACTTTTTTTAAGGGTCAAGGCATTTAGCCTTGAAAGGCTCATTGAGGACACAACTTCACAACTTAATTATATGAGTGAATAAATAAATGAATACTATCTATAACGGTCCTCTAAAGTAAAAAAAATGAAAAAAAGAAGATATAAGAATAATAGGGGCGATGTTTATTTTCAAATATTTTTCATAGTGTTGAGAATGCTAGAATGTGAACTGTATTGTGGTTACCGTATTGTATCTCTAATAGGCGTCTAAGAACGACATTAGCTGCATCAATTATCATTATTTTTTATGTACGTACTTAGGTCTAATAAGTTTAAATTCTCCCTCACAGGAAACTGTTTCTATCGCCTCAACCAACCTTGGGGTTCATTTGAGAGTCCAGGCAAGCCAGGTTGTTACCCGAACAACATGTACTGCGCCTGGCTGCTCCAACCTTTCTTTGGTCAATACGTATATCTAGAATTCAATTCTTTCCATTTGGAATATGGAGGTTCTCACTGCCCGTTCGATTATGTGAAAATTCTTGATGGTAACTCATTGTACAGCCCTGTTCTTGTCAAGGCGTGCGGTCAGTTGGTAAGGTGGGAATTGTACAGTAGTGGATCGTCCCTTATGGTGCTGTTCAATTCGGACGGTAGCACCGGGATGCCTGGATTTTCTGCTTATTTCTACGGTACATCTAAAAGTAAGAGGAATAAATAAATTTTTTTAAAACCTTTTTTTAAAAAAACAATGTTTAGATGAAAGTTTCATGGTGTAAATGAACTCTGGCAATTTTGAGCGTTTACAACGATTTACTTAACTTCCCCACTTTTGGAGAAAATATCATGCGTTGTTCGTTGTTTTGCTGCACATTTTGGTAATAAGCTTCAAATACTTTAACACAGATAACCTACGATTGGCACTTAGAACCGTAGAGTGCACGTTCTATTAACGGTTAGTGCCTTTGTTCCTTAATATTTACAAATTCAAGCTCTTCCTCGTACGCAGGATACAACAGCTCATTACCAAGCCAACAAGTGTCAATAAAAAGCTCAGTGCAGTGTTTTCCTACGCAGACACAAACTGCCACTCCTGCCTCGTCAAACGGTAAGTGAACGAAACCTAGGCTCCTGACAAAGGCTACTTTTGCTATTAATTTTCACTTATCCATCCGAAGCTTTGTCATATTTTTCTGAGTAATTTCCTTGCCTTAATGTAATTCCTTTTAAACATGTTTCGAACAAACTACAAAAAATCAAAATCTAACAATTAAAAATAGGATTGCAGAATCAGTTATGACTTTAAGACTTACCCGGATACACCAGCTACATTGTCTTAGAAGTACTGTAACCACCCTTTAGGGCGATCATCAGCGATTGAGCGAGTGAGGATAAACGAACTGATTACAGAGGAACTGTCTATGCTTATTTGCAGAGCACGCAATCCGCCCGACACCAGCCTCCGTAATGGCTATGCCCTCTTACGCTGCTTCAAGTGTAAACGTCCAGCCAGATCCTTCTCAGTTTCATTTTCATTTACCGACGGAATGCGATCAAAGTTGTCACAACACGTTCGGGAGTTACTCTTGCTCTTGCGTTAGTGGATACCAATTGGCCGCAGATGGGAAATCGTGCCTGGGTAAAATTTATTTTACTTGAACATTGTTTGGAGATATTCTCATTGCGTAGCTATGGATTTCTGTGGAAAAAAAATAAGTGCAACAACTTGACCGATGCGCATGCAATTGAAATAATTGTCGTGTTTTTGATGTTCAGCTTAACTTACAAGTTTTTGTTAACACGTGTTGTTTCATACTTTTCGATAGTTCCCAATCAATTGAGCCCTTTCCACCCCAACCCATGCAAATTTTCCACACCGTTCTTGATACAATTCTCAGGGGTGCATACAAATAGAATTTGGTCAACAAGCAAGAGCTTCCACAGTTGCTGATCACTACCTTTATTCTCTTGACCTTTATTTGTGGTTCAGGGGTGATATTGTGAGGAGAAATTAGAGGCTAGTCATTCTTGGGGGTAAAAGGGTAAATCAGATAGATCTCAGAACGGTCATGTCACTCTCCTCCTCCCGTAAGCGCTTTTCATTCTCCATTGTAAGTTTAGCTTGGAGTTAAAGTGTTAGAGGTGGCCGTGATTTTCTCGTTAACTTTATAACTAATATTTTCCTTTCCTTTTTGCGCAGACCTCGATGAATGTTCGATCAATAATGGCGGCTGCAGCCATCATTGTTACAATATTCCTGGATCATTTTATTGTGGTTGTCCGGACGGAACCAGTATGGGTGCTAATAATTTGACTTGTGTTGGTAAGGAATGCTAAGCCAAGCTTTCCTCATATGATTATACTGAAGGAAAATTCTGCCTCTGTTAAGAATGGAAATAAACAACAATCAGCATTTTTCGGGAAAAATATGATTTTTTATCCACTACAATAGCAGGCTTGACAAGACTGCAGCAGCTCTAATCAGTCTTAGGACACTTTTCCGGAACTGGACTTTATTTTGTTACCCCTTTTGTCCAAAAGATACACGTGTTCGCTCATTTGGAAGGAAAGCAGAAAAATATTGTGGATGCGTGGTACTTTTTGGTGACTCAACTATCTCAAAGTTATTATGGATTAGGCGCGAGTACTTGGCACACATTAAATTCCTGTTTAATTTAAGGCTATTGCTTTTTAATTTCGTCTTAGAACCTGGTGTGTCTGTCAACTGCAGTGACATTATAACGGTTGCCTTAGAAAAGAAGACATTTCCATTTTTTGACGTTGCCCGACTACATTTGAGGTACTCATCATGTAAAGCCTCACAGAATGACACCCATCTACTGATCAGCACTCCTTTGGATGGTTGCGGAACACTGGTCAACGAGACTGAAGATGAACTTATCTTCTGGAATGAAATCCGAACGGAGGTGATCCTTATCGACAATGTCATAACTAGATCCCATGACGTCAAAATTCCATTTTATTGCAGTTATTCGAGAAGAACATGGGTCAACCTGGGTTTCAAGCCTCAGCATCTACACTTTGGAACAGAAGGTAAATGAAACTTTCCAGCTCTCGTTCTGGTCACTCCAAATCAACAGCATGTATCTTTAGCTAAGGTACTTTCCTCCTTAGGGAGATGCCATCCTTTTATCTCCAGAGTGGAATGCAGATTTGTTTCAAAATTTAACACGTTTATGTGCTAAATGACTTTATCTTTTCCTCTTTCCAGCTGGGTATGGAAACTTTACCTTCAAAATTGACTTTTACAAGAGCTCGTCATTTGCTACTCCCTATACTGAGCAGGACTACCCTCTGAGTGTACCAATCAATCAGTACTTGTATGTGAGATACAGCGTAGAATCCAGTGCTGATCTGGTGATAATGGCCGTGACATGTAGGGCCACTAAAACTGGAAGCTTGTACTCCTGGCCACAATACTCTATTATACTGAACGGGTATGTAGGGTACTCAAACATATTAGTGTGAATGGTCTCCTTGGAAAAATACGCAAGTTTCAGTCAATTTAATTAACGATTCGCTATTTCATATGACCTAAATTTCTTTTTTATATATGACATCGATATGCTTTTAAAGGTTTTTAGTCTCCTGTGCTGCGAATGCTTAATTCTTAGTGCAAAGTATTGAGGCGGTCGGTGTTACTGAAGGACAACTTCCAATGTTTAACTGATTCTAAGGAGTAATGAACAGATGGATTTGGACCATATAGGTCATCATCACATTATGTTTCTGGGGCAAGGCGTTATATCAGAAAAACAAAATCCTTTTTGACATTTCTTTACCAAATATTCAAGCTTTTGAAAGCTAAAATTACCCAGAACATTCCTAAGGAAGTTTCTTAGTGGCAGCATGAATTAAAAAGAAACAGACTGAGGTGACAATGAGCAAAATGTTCTACGTGCGCGCATTAATTTCAACTTACTTCTTACTTTCACCACCAACAGTTGTCCGAAAGATACCACCATGGACTACAACTTTGATCCCCAAAGGAATTACCAGCAGTTCAAAATCAGAGCATTCAGATTCTTTAACGACTACGATCAGGTGTACATTCACTGCGAAGTTTTGGCCTGCCATAAATACTCTCCAAACTCCAGGTGAGTTAACCAACTCGTGCAGAAACACTGTAGACAAAGAGATGCCGAATAAACATTTATCACTGACGAATATCAAAACCATCATTGAGTAATTTTAGTGCAATATGATTTCATCACTCACAGTATAACAAAGGCGTTCGAAGCTAATTCAAATCTTCCTCAACAACTTTGACAGGTGCACCCAAAGTTGTTTAGGCAGTAAGAAGAGAAAGCGGAGGGATGTTACCCGTGACGAAACAGAACATGAAGAGAGTACTACCAAAGTCACTCTGACACGAGGACCACTGATATTTCAACAAGACGAAGAACCAGGAGGCAAGTTCACATATAATGTGAAAAGATAAGGGATATTGAAATAGATAAAGTTTTCTCAAATACTGCAAAGCTTGTGTTTAACATGTCAACAACGCTGACTTGCCTAAATTTCAAATTTAGGTAGTTTGTCACTGATTTAAAAATAATAATGATGATGAGGAAAGCTTTCAAAACACGACTTAAAAAAGGAAACTCAGGTCCTAATATGTAACTCGCATTTTCACTTAATTTTTCTATTGTCAAAAATAAAAATATGAGTATTGAAGGACTTGGAAAATAGGTAAACTAAGGCGATTTTAAATCAAGTCAACAGTTGATTTTAGTTTCTTGCTTATAAATATTAAGTTATTTCCTTCTCTCTTTTCCACAACTAATTTCATTAACAGAAATAAGGCAAATTAGATTGAGTCATTTTTTTAATTTTAAATGCCTTCCTTTCTTTGGTCTTCGCTTGAGCTTTGATTCCTCTCCTGCATTCAAATTTCAGACACAGGTAAAAACAAGCAAACTGCGCTGATTGGTGGCGTAGCAGGCGCTGGAGGATTTGCTCTGGTTGCAGTTGCTGCATTGGCTGTTTTATTTGTCAAGTACCGCATTGCACGACGGTTCATGAACAGAAACAAGGTTGGAGACCAGTACGCAACCCAAGATGAACAACTGAGCAGAAGAAATGCCTACGTTCAGCCTGAAGATATGGTCGAACAGGAAGGCTCCTTCTAAATATAAGCTTTTTTCAGGGCTCACTTGCTCAAAGGACAGATAACGCTATCCGACGGACAAATCACTATCCAGTGGAGAAGTGTGTTTAAACCGTACTGCGCTATCGACTGGATAGGGATTTATCCAGTAAGAAAGCGTTATCCACCCTTTTAACAACCGAAGCCTGCATTGTTTACTTATTTCCTTATCAAGCAGCAAATACAAATGTAGTTCAAGAAATTTCTTTCGGCAGTTACAAGGTTTGAGTGCTTTCATTGCAACCTCTGATAAAAATGAACCTTCTCATCTAACTCCTGAGCAATTTAGCCTCAGGCTTACGTAACTTTTTTGTTAACTTACACCTTCAAAGCGTGCAGTCTCTTACAGACTGCAGGCCTTACTTTGCATAGATCGCTTTCAACTATACACAGAGAGAATGTTTTTAAGAATATGTAAGCCAAAACTGTATAGATCTTTGAGCTGTACCTTAATTTAAGAACCTTTCACTGTTGAAAGGTAACTTTTAGAAAGCAAACAAAATTGAATGGGGAAAGTTGTTTTTCACAAAGCTGGTTATCATTTCTCATTTTCAAACCTGCCTTTTCATTCGCATTTTTGTGTTCACTAGTTTTAGTCGCTTTAAAATATCGAAAAAATTAAATGAGTGCACTTCACATCTTGACTCTCGAATGTTACCAAAAGCTAAAATAAG